GGAGCAAGTGGTAAAATGCTAGCCTTGAGTACAAAAGCTCAGTGACAGCTCAAGCCCTGAGTTCAAGCACCAGAACTGGAATTGGAAGAGGAAAAAAAAAGGACTAGCAGTTTGGGTCAAGTGGTAGCTTGCCTACTATGTGTGACACCCGATTTTCAATCCTCAATATTAAAGAAAGAAGAGAGGAATAAGGGAAGGAAGGAGGGAATAGCATGTGCTAAACCTTTCTCAAATAATTACTCATTAAATCTTATAAAAATCAGCTTCAAGAAAATACTAACAAGCAAACTTCCTATTTACCTTCTAAAATAAGGTATTTAGCTAAAATACCATCTCAATTTTAGAAATATTTTTGCATGCTAAAAAAGATTTTTTTTATATAATAGCATATTGGCAAGCCAAAAAAAAAAAAACAATGCTGTATTAAGAATTAAGATCTTAGCAGGGGCTGGGAAGGTGGCTCAGTGGTAGAGCGCTTGCCTTGCATGCATGAGGCCCTGGGTTCGATTCCTCAGCACCACATAAGCAAAAAGAAAAAAGCCAGAAGTGGCGCTGTAGCTCACGTGGTAGAGCGCTAGCCTTGACCTGAAGAGCTGAAGGACAGCTCCCAGGCCCAGAGTTCAGGCCCCACAACTGGACCCCAAAAAAAAAATAAAAGAATTAAGATCTTAGCTACTCAGGAGGCTGAGATTTGAGGATCTCTGTTCAAAGCCAGCCCAGACAGACTCTTATCTCCAATTAACCAGCAAAAAGCAGAACTGGAGCTGTGGCTCAAGGGATAGAACACTAGCCTTGAGTAAAAGAAGCTCAAAGAGAGCACCCAAGCTCCCCCAAAAATTAGATCTTACTGGTGGAGATGTGGGTCATTGGGAGCTATCAAGAGGCTCTGAATTCAAACTCACCATCAGTTCTCCCTCACAAAAAAAATGTTCAGCTAGGGGCTGTTGGCTCATTCTTCTAATCCTAGCTACTCAGGAGAGTCTGAGACCTGGAGGATCAAAATTCAAAGGCAGCTTGGGCAGAAAATACCTCAAGACTCCATTTACCAATTAAGCAACAAAAAGGAAGGCTGGAGGCATGCCTTAACTAGTAAAGCACCAGCTATGTTCAAGCAAGCTGATCTAGAGTGTGAGAGCCTGAATTCAAGTCCTAGTATTTATATTCTCTCTCTCTCTCTCTCTCCCACTCTCTCTCTCTCTCTCTCTCTCTCTCTCTCACACACACACACACACACACACACACAAACACACACACACACACAATCTTG